AGTGCGGCTTTTAGTTGCGAATCTTTTTCTCGGCCGAACATTATTTTCGAGTGACTTTCTGGATGAGGCAATATGGTGGACGGCCATCGGGAACTATTTCAGCGGTGGTGAAACTAACCCTGCGAGCCGCGCATGCCCTTGTCTTGGAAACGCACACAACTTTTCAGATCTCAGGAGTTGTGTGGAGAAGGGTCTCTTCTACTTTGAAGGTAGACGAAGACATTCTTTATCTGGTGGGGCATACTTCTGCTCTGAACAAAGGAATTCTTTGTAAGTGGTAGCACCGGTTAAAGAGGATGAACAACATCAAACCTCCGTACCGTTCTCGCAGGCACCATTGTGAGGGAGAGGAGGAATGCGACGGCCCATGATACATTTTCAGTGCTCAATGGAAGTGCGGCTATTACTTGCGGAATCTTTTTCTTCAGGCGACATTATTTTCAGAGTGACCTTCTGAGATGGGAATATTGTAGACGGATCGGGAACTATTCAGCCGTTGGTGAACTAACCTGCAGCGCCATGCCATTGGTACTTGGAAACTCACACAACTTTTCAGATCTCATTTGAGTTGTGTGGAGAACGGTCTCTTCTACTTTGAAGGTAGACGAAGACATTCTTTATCTGGTGGGGCATACTTCTGCTCTGAATGAAAGGAATTCTTTGTAAGTGGTAGGGCACCGGTTAAAGAGGATGAACAACATCAAAGTTCGCTACTTCTCGCAGGCAATATTTGGCAGGAGAGGACGCGCCAGGGAATGCGACGGCCCATGATACTTTTCAGTGCTCAATGGAAGTGCGGCTATTACTTGCGGAATCTTTTTCTTCAGGCGACATTATTTTCAGAGTGACCTTCTGAGATGGGAATATTGTAGATGGATCGGGAACTATTCAGCCGTTGGTGAACTAACCTGCAGCGCCATGCCCCTTGTCTTGGAAACGCACACAACTTTTCAGATCTCAGGAGTTGTGTGCCGTGGAGGAAAGGGTCTCTTCTACGTTAAAGTAGACGAAACATTCTTAACTGCGTGGGATACTCTCCGCTCTGAATAAAGGATCCTTTGTAAAGCGGTAGACCCTTAAGGGGTCGATGACAAACATGCAAAACATCCGCTACCGTTGCTTTAGCGCACACATTGTTGAAGGGAGAGAAGGATATGCGCGGCCATGATACTGTTCAGTGCTTCAATGGAAGTCGGCTATTATCTGCATAATCTTTTTCTTCAGGGCATTATTTTTCAGAGTGACTCTGCTAGATTGAGATATGTGTAGACGGATCTGGGAACTATCGTCAGCCGTGGTGCAACTAACTGCCAGCGCCATGCGCTTGTCTTACAGGGAAACGCACACAACTTTTCAGATCTCAGGAGTTGTGTGGAGAAGGGTCTCTTCTACTTTGAAGGTAGACGAAGACATTCTTTATCTGGTGGGGCATACTTCTGCTCTGAACAAAGGAATCTTTGTAGTGAGTCACGGTCTAAACGAGCAATGCAACACACACTCAAACTCCCCCGTCACGTTCTCGCAGGCACACTTGGTGAGGCGAAGGAAGAATTGCGACGCATGATAATTTTCCCACGTGGATCCAATGGAGCTGCGCGGCTCCATTAACCTTGCGGACTCTTTTCTTCAGCGCACATCTATATCTCAGCAGTAGCACCTTTTTTTTTCTGGGGAGAATTGGGGGAATATTGTTAGACGGGATCGGCGGAAATATTCGCCGGTTGGTGAACGTAACTTGCCGCGCCAATGGCCTTGTCTGGCAAACGAACACACTTTCAGATCTCAGGAGTTGTGTGGAGAAGGGTCTCTTCTACTTTAAACGTAGACGAAGACATTCTTCAACTGGTGGGCATACTTCTGCTCTGAATAAAGGAATCCTTTGTAAGCGGTAGGACCGCTTTAAAGGGGATGAACAACATCAAACATCCGTACCGTTCTCTTAGGCACCATTGTGAGGGAGAGAAGGAATGCGACGGCCCATGATACTTTTCAGTGCTCAATGGAAGTGCGGCTATTATTTGCGAAATCTTTTTCTTCAGGCGACTATTATTTCAGAACTTGACCTTCTGAGATGAGATATATTGTTAGACGGCATCGCGGATACATATTCAGCGGTTGGTGAACTACCTGCGCGCCATGCCCTGTCCTTGGAAAACGCACACAACTTTCAGATCTCAGGAGTTGTGTGGAGAAGGGTCTCTTCTACTTTGAAGGTAGACGAAGACATTCTTTATCTGGTGGGGCATACTTCTGCTCTGAACAAAGGAATTCTTTGTAAGTGGTAGCACCGGTTAAAGAGGATGAACAACATCAAACCTATTTTTTCCGCTACCGTTCTCTTAGGCACCAGTGTGAGAGGCAGAGAAGGATTGGACGGCCCATGATATTTTCCGTGCTCAATGGAGAGTGGCGCCTTATTATTTTGGACGAAATCGTTTTCTGCAGGCGACATGATTTTTCAGGAGTGACCTTCGTGAGATGCAGAATATTGGTAGACGGCATCGGGAACATTCAGCTCGTTGGTGAAACTAACGCTGCCACGCCTATGCCTTTTTGGCATAACGCACACAAATTTTTTCAGATTAGGAGTGTTGGAGAAGGGTCTCTTCTACTTTGAAGGTAGACGAAGACATTCTTCATCTGGTGGGGCATACTTCTGCTCTGAACAAAGGAATTCTTTGTAAGTGGTAGCACCGCGTTTAAAGGGGCATGAACACACAAACCTCACGTACCGTTTCTCCGCCAGGCACCTTGGTGAGGAGAGGAGGAATGCGACGGCCCATGATACATTTTCAGTGATCAATGGAAGTGCGGCTATTACTTGCGGAATCTTTTCTTCAGGCGACATTATTTTCAGAGTGACCTTCTGAGATGGGAATATTGTAGACGGATCGGGAACTATTCAGCCGTTGGTGAACTAACCTGCAGCGTCATGCTTGTCTTGAAACGACGCACACAACTGTTTCAGATCTCAGGACGTTGTGTAGGAGAAGCGTTCTTCTATTTGAGGCTTAGGCCGATAATTCTTTTATCGTGGTGGGCATCTTCTGCTCTGAATAAAGGAATCTTTGTAAGTGTTAGCCGTTAAAGGGATGAACCAACATCACCTCTCGGCCGCTTTCTCGCAGGCCACCTTTGTGAGGGAGAGGAGGAATCGACCGGCCCATGATTACAATTTTTCTTTTTTCACGTTCTGTTTTTTTTTATTTTTTTTTGTGCGGCGCTTTTCAATGGAAGGCTGCGCTATTACTTGCGGAATCTTTTTCTTCAGGCGACATTATTTTCAGAGTGACCTTCTGAGATGGGAATATTGTAGACGGATCGGGAACTATTCAGCCGTTGGTGAACTAACCTGCAGCGCCATGCCCTTGTTTGAAACGCAGAACTTTTCAGATCTCCAGCGAGTGTGTGGAGAAGTGTCTCTTTATACTTTGAAGGTAGACGAGACATTCTTTATTCTGTGTGGCATACTTCTGCTCTGAATAAAGGAAATCTTTGTAAGTGGTAGCACCGGTTAAAGAGGATGAACAACATCAAACCTCCGTACCGTTCTCGCAGGCACCATTGTGAGGGAGAGGAGGAATGCGACGGCCCATGATACTTTTCAGTGCTCAATGGAAGTGCAGCTATTACTTGCGGGAAAAAAAAATTTCCTTATTTTTTTTTTTTTTTCTTTCAGGAGACCATTATTTTCAGAGTGACCTTCGAGATTGAGAATATTGGTTGATGTATCGGGAACGATGCAGGCGTTGGTGCATATCGAACGCGCGCCATGCCTGTCTTGAAACGCACACAACTTTCAGATTTCAGAGTGTGTGTGGAGAGGCGTCCTCTTCTACTCTTGGAAGGTAGACGAAGACATTTCTTTATCTGGTGGGCATACTTCTGCTCTGCTCTGAATAAAGGAATTCTTTGTAAGTGGTAGCACCGGTTAAAGGGGATGAACAACATCAAAGTTCCGTACCGTTCTCGCAGCCACCATTGTGAGCGGAGAGGAGGAATGCGACGGCCCATGATACTTTTCAGTGCTCAATGGAAGTGCGGCTATTACTTGCAAATCTTTTTCTTCAGGAGACATTATTTTCAGAGTGACCTTCTGAGATGGGAATATTGTAGATGGATCGGGAACTATTCAGCCGTTGGTGAACTAACCTGCAGCGCCATGCCCCTTGTCTTGGAAACGCACACAACTTTTCAGATCTCAGGAGTTGTGTGGAGAAGGGTCTCTTCTACTTTGAAGGTAGACGAAGACATTCTTTATCTGGTGGGGCATACTTCTGCTCTGAATAAAGGAATTCTTTGTAAGTGGTAGCACCGGTTAAAGAGGGATGAACAACATCAAAGTTCCGTACCGTTCTCGCAGGCACCATTGTGAGGGAGAGGAGGAATGCGACGGCCCATGATACTTTTCAGTGCTCAATGGAAGTGCGGCTATTACTTGCAAAATCTTTTTCTTCAGGCGACATTATTTTCAGAGTGACCTTCTGAGATGGGAATATTGTAGATGGATCGGGAACTATTCAGCCGTTGGTGAACTAACCTGCAGCGCCATGCCCCTTGTCTTGGAAACGCACACAACTTTTCAGATCTCAGGAGTTGTGTGGAGAAGGGTCTCTTCTACTTTGAAGGTAGACGAAGACATTCTTTATCTGGTGGGGCATACTTCTGCTCTGAATAAAGGAATTCTTTGTAAGTGGTAGCACCGGTTAAAGAGGATGAACAACATCAAACCTCCGTACCGTTCTCGCAGGCACCATTGTGAGGGAGAGGAGGAATGCGACGGCCCATGATACATTTTCAGTGCTCAATGGAAGTGCGGCTATTACTTGCGGAATCTTTTTCTTCAGGCGACATTATTTTCAGAGTGACCTTCTGAGATGGGAATATTGTAGATGGATCGGGAACAATTCAGTCCGTTGGTGCACTAACCTGCAGCGCCATGCCCCTTGTCTTGGAAACTCACACAACTTTTCAGATACTCAGTTGTGTGTGGGAACGGTCTAGTCTACTTTCAGACCGTAGACGAAGGACATTCTTACACTGGTGGGGGCATACTTCTGCTTCTGAATAAGGAATTCTTTAAAAAATTCTCTTAAAATAAGTGATAGGGTACGTTGGAGGAAATGAATAACGGAGATCCCTATGTGAAAACTGTAGATGATTAGGCCGTACAGGGCAGCAAGCGAAGGAAGTTGCTTCGTTGTAATTTGTGAGGCTCAGTGAGGCTCTGATAGATTAAACTCCTGAGAGTGAGGTCATTTGATCGGACGGACTACATTTTCGTGCTGGTTTATGGCTTAGTCTTGTTCGGGTGTATATTTGTTGCGAGTTGTACTCTCACAATTATCTTTCCTATCTCCACGATATTGTTCGGTAACCGTCTAATACAATAATGATTCGGTCGATGCTGTGGAAAATTAGGAGTACGACCTACTTTCATTTGCGAAATATGTATTGGATGCGATGTACCTACCCTCGGGAAACTGAAATTCACCATGGGTTCTTAATAGGCTCTTGATGACTTAACATACATACGGTTGATTTTCTAATGGCTAGATTTTTCAGTCTGAAAAATACTCTCGAATTCTCGACCTGTGCAACGCAAGCGCTTATGAGGCTCACCTAGAGTTTTCTGCATCAAAAGCGGGAAGAGGTGAAGGTCTTTATTGAAGAAAATTTTCTTTCTTGATAAATTTTTTTTGAGGTTTTCAAAGGAGCACTTCATTGAACACGACGTTTTTTATCAGATTTGTGGGCGAATTGATTTTGATCCCGCTAGGGTTTCTGGCGCGAGAGAGAGCTACATATAGTTGTCCGTGAGTGAAAACTTCTTCGGGGAGATAAACGCCAACTTTATTGAACGACTGTCCCTGTGCTTTATTGATTGTCATTGCAAACGATACTCGCACAGGGAACTGCCTTCGACGAAGCCGAAAGGGACTCTTTTGTCCCAGTAATTGTCGATTCGTGGTAATCACAGCGAGCTGTCCTCTTCTGTCTCCACAGATGAACTTGCAGCCAAGAGTGTAACGCCCGAGCGTTTCTACTTTCAGCCTCGTTCCGTTACAGAGTCCATTTGCTACATCGAGATTTCTGAGTAGCATTACTATCGCCCTTTCTTCAGACGTAACTCATGTGGCGGCATACCGGTGGGAGTGAGCGAGTTTAGATATTCCTGTTGAAAAAGTTGCTCTCCTTGTCCATCCTGGTAGATTGCTTCGTCGACACTCTTGTAGGTGTGTTCATCTTGCGATCGTTCCACTGAGAGGCGGTCAAGAGCAATATCATTGAGTCGCTGCACATGAAGATTTTTAGGTGCCAAAATGGCACACTCGCATAACTCAGATGTGCTCCTAGGGTCAAGAGTGTCTCCGAAAATCTCCGTTACGATATCTGTGTGGCACATCATGCTCTCGGGCACTTCTACGCAGCTATCGGAGTCGTTGCAGCTGCCGTTACCTATTTCGAGGAGGCGTTCATTCCAATCGCTTCCAGCTTCTCTTGCTCTCATGTTGACGGCTAGACGGTGGATAGAAAACAATGGCCATAGAAAAGACCTGTGAACACAGGCCTTCAACGAAATCTTCCCTTTGACCGTGTTCAACTACTGGCAGAACCTGACGGAAATCGCCACCAATAACTACAACCTTCCCTCCGAATGGCTCATCATTCTGCATAATATCTTTCAATAGAACGTCCACTGCTTCTAGAGCAGCCTTCGGTGCCATGGAGATTTCGTCCCAAATGATCATATCTACAGCCATCAGTTCTCTAGCCTCCCTTTGTTGACGTTTCATTGAAGAGCTCCGGCTTCCGTCTCCAATGTTCAGTTTGAAAAGAGGAGCTTACCGTTCGCCCTCTCGGCAGTAGATTTGCTGCTATTCCTGTCCATGCCACGCATGCCACTTGGCGTCCTCTTCCAACCGCAATATCGTAGACGGTGTTGTATAAGTAAGTTTTGCCACTTCCTCCTGGACCATCTATGAAAATGCACCGATTTCTAGGCCTCTCCAGTGCACCAATGATGTCGTCTGCTGCCGCCTTTTGCCTTTCATTGAGAGTTTCATAGCGAAGGAGGCCGTTCCTCTCGTGTTCTTCACGATCCACAGTAACACTAAGAAGTGCAGGGCGTTCAGGTACCGGTGGTGGGATTATCTCCCTCAGGTCTGTACCGATGAGTGCCATTCGATCGAGAACATCAAAGTACGCGAGGGCTACCGCACGCTCACGATCGACGCCTCGGTGGATGAAATCATCGGACATCACATAGGAAAACCGTTCCACAATTCCTGTGCTTGAACAACCTCGGAGAAGCAGAGTAGGCAGGCGAAAAAGCTTCGAGTACATGCTGCCGACTGATACTGAGCGGCCTTCCTCTAAACTTTGACGGAAATATCTGTCGTCATCCAAGAAGCCTGCACGCTTTGCTGCTTCTGCAAAAGTGTCGTATACGACACCGTCCACCGTTCGCAGATCTTCGAAAGAGGTCTTCCCTTTTGTATTCAACAAAAGTATTCTGAGGCAATATCGTTCATAGTCCCGAGGCGAAACAGGTGAACATTCTGCCAATCTGTTTTCCAGAGCGTCTTCTTGGTGACCAACCACGGCGTGGCTCAAAAGTGAAATACTCAGGCAGCTGGTAGTAGTAAAGCTCTCGAGCGTCAATCGCAAAATCGGAGCGTACACTGCCATCAGCCTGAGCATATTGCCTGTTGAGCTCAAAGTACGCCGTAAGGGTTGTAAAGGACCGATGAGCACGATCCAGATAACGCTGTTCTTGCCCTTGCACAAAATGCACCGTTTGGAAGTCAGGAAGATGTACAGCTAATCTGTAAACCGTGTGCGACTTTTCTTGCATTGTAAAGCCGAAGATTCTGTACATACTTTGAGGCGCACATACGTAGCGAGTGTTCAAGTGCTGTTTAATTTCATCGAAGTTTGCGTTGTTGTCGCCATTCTCATCACTTTCGATGTTAATGCGAGCACGATCTGGCCCTTTATAGATGTACTTATAGAGATATTTCACAGCCGATATCATTCCACAAATCTCCAGATTCACATGACAGTCAAACTTCATCAGAAGGTACGGATTTGATGGCACGACCCATTCGTCACCGTAAAGAACACCATTGATCTCGGCAGGTGATAGGTTACGACGTCGGTAGTTGGGGTAACCATCCACATCAACCGAAGTTCTTTCCCGTATTTGCTTCGGGAATCGTTTAGAACAGGACCCGTTCCGCATGCAAGGAGAGTCCATCTGACCACACTGCCTGTGAATCATATAAGAAGTTACAGCAGCGTGAAGTCCGGTTCTTCTACAGGATTTGGGATTTCCGCACATATCGATCTGTCTACATCATCTGCAGTTCGCACTCTCCACTCGTCCTTCATAATAAGGAG